CACAACGGCGAGACCAAGCCCCCCAGGCTGGGCAGCACCCGGGGCGGTGGTGGCGGCAGAGGCGGCGGAGGCAGCGGTAGCAGCAGTGAGCTCTCAACCCCAGAGAAGCCCCCGACCCCGAGGGCGGGCCCGTTCGGCAGCCGGCGGGAAGCTGCCCCGGGTGAGCCCTCCACCAGCATCCCTGCGACTGTGGGCTCGCTTCCTAGTTCCAAGAGCTTCCTGGGCATGAAGGCCCGAGAGTTATTTCGTAATAAGAGCGAGAGCCAGTGTGACGAGGACGGCGTGACCATCAGTAGCCTTTCGGAGACCCCAAAGACAGAACTGGGCAAAGACTCGGGCGTGGAAGACAAGAGCCCACTGAGCGTGGATGGCCCGTGCCCGTCCCCCCCGAATCCGGACAGTGTTGGACAGCTCCGTATCATGGACTACAACGAGACCCATCACGAGCACAGCTAAGGACGACAGCCAGGCAGCGCCAGCCTGCGGGGCGCTGGCAGAGGATGGGAGGGGCGGGTGCGCATTTGTGAGCCGCCCCCTTCCGGGGTCTGCGCGGCCAGCTCACGCGGTGGAGACGGGATGGAGGTCGTCTTGACATTGACTGAATGCAGAACGGATTTTGGATCTGGCCTTGAAATGCCTCTTAACCTTCCCCTCGACCCAGCCCCTTGACCTAGCGGTGTGTGCTAATCCGAGGGCCAGTTTGCATTCCTTAGTAGCTTTATTCTCTTCCTTCCCCTCCCAAATGGTTGCGCCCTTTGAACCAGTGCAATATGAGGCCAAATTTAATCTGAGTCTATCACCCCACTCTCTCCCGAAGCTTAGAAAACCAGGTGGGCTCCCCGTTAGCCGGGGTGGTCGGCGGCGCCGCAGGTAAGTCTGCCGCCCTCCAGCCCTGGGAGCGGGGAGCTGCACGGCCAATGACCTTCACACGAAGGCTTTCACGTGGGACTTTGTCGCTGCTCTTGGTTCTGAAGTTCAGCGTCTAAAGTAGCAGGTTTAGAAACACGGTGGTTCTTTTGGCGGTTCTGATGAGCTTCTTAGAAAGTTCTGTGTGAACAAACGTCTGTTGCTAGAGAAGCCGAGAGCCAGCACTGCGTGACCGCCCCGTGGGAATGCTCTGCCCGCCTCCCCCACTACCTCTTATTTATTTGGTGTTGGCTCGAAGGCCGGTACTGTCCTGAGCACAGGCCGGTGTGCGGGTGGTGACCCCACTCCCTGCAGGACGGAAGGGTGGCAACGCAAGCAGCCAGTTCCCCGGGAAGCACTGTGGCCGAGAGCTGCGCCCTCCGGTTCAGCTTCTCCGTCTGTTTGCCTCCCTTTGTGTCCCCACGCGCCTCTGTTTACGTCAGCTTCTTTGCGACACTGCAGCAGAAAGGCTCTGAACATCCAAAAAGGAACTTTCTTCGAAGTTCCTATGACTGTTGTTTCTCAGGCCGTGAGAGCTGCCTCACTGTAGCAGGTTCTAGGCCACCAAAAAGGTAACAGCTTATCGCACCAATTCTAATTTTCAGGGGCCGACTCCCCAGGGAGCTGACGCCGCTGCCCTCCCACACGTTAGTGATGGCACAGTGTTTTAAAGCAGAGGCCTGGGGAGTGTCGACAGAGGCCGCTGCCGTGGACCTGGCTGGCCACACGGGCTCAGGAGAGGTGACAGTGGTCAGAACACTGGTGGTGGCAGAGAATCTGAAGTCAACAGATGCTCGCGAAGTAAATGCTAGAAGCCTAAGGCCCTCGCATGGCGGTCCCGCTGGGGCAGGGAGACTGGAAAGGCAGAGCCAGCGGGCTCGGCGGCTCGCTCTCTCCTTCCAGTCAGAAGTACCGACCCGCTCAGCTACGAAGAAGGAAGGAAACAGTGATGGCACGAACGTCACCACGGGCGGGAGCTCCGGCACTCGGGTGAAAGTCTCTTTTTTTAAAAGTGTGGCAGTAAACACTCTGGCTTCCCTAACCTAAAGGGGCTGAGTACTGAGACTCCGTGTCACCACGCTGTGCGAGCAGAAGACCTCCGTGGGATGGGACTTCAGGCCCGACTGGCTGACTCCGGCCTGGGAGAGGGGGTGCCCCTGCCTGCTGTGGGCGCCGGCGGTGGCCGTTGAGCGTTGGTGACACCCCGGGTCTCATTCGGCTTTGTCTAAAGGAAAGCTTAGAGGCGAACACGTGCTGGTTTCCTCGTTCGGGTTTAGAAAAGGGAAACACGAACAAATTCAGAAAGGAAAGGCGCTACCGGGGAACCCCCGAAACTGGCTCTGGAAGCCCGGCCCCACCCCCACCCCGAGGCCGAGGCCGGTTGCCGTGCGGGGCCGTTTCCCTGGCCGACTGACGGAGGCCGACGCAGAGGAGGGAAGAAACGTTTAGCAGCAGGGCAGATGGTGAACGTACAGGGAGGAGAAGGCAGCGTGGTGATGGGGACTGAGGCCCGGGCCGGAGGCTCCCGGCGGTGTCTGTGCTGGGGGCCCTGGGCATGGGGTCTGGCCTGGCAGTCCGTTTGTCCAGCTCCACAGCCGTGGCGACCCCGAGGGGCTGCGCTCAGGTCCCTCTAGGTCCTAGAGGCCATGGGCTCCGCCCAGCCCAGGCGGGGGCAGCGAGGCCTGGAGCCACGTCGGAGGGACCCGGCCGGAAAACAGGCTTCTTTGTCACAAGGGCTCAGTCGGGTTTTGTCTGGTTTCGGAATTGATGAACCTGCCACGAGTCAACGGGTCACTGGATCATGCCGCGGCGAGCGTTTGTAAAGATGGGAGGTGACGGTAGAGGAAGTCCTGGGAGAATCTCGGCCTGGGGACAGACGGGGCCGAGGCATTCAGCGTCATGAGCGGATCCTGCCCGGAGTGCTCGTCCATGTCAGGGCCACTGAGCAAGCTTGCCTGTCTCAGCTGTGTGGCCAGCGTCCTGAGCCCCACTTGACACCAGCTAGGGTCGGGCACAGCCCCTGAGGAGATCGGCGTCCGCTGCTTGGGCAGGATGGTTTGTTGATAAGAGGAGCACCGCAGTATTTCTTGGGGTGGCTGTTGGGCGGGGAAGACGCTGGCAGCGTGGTCCGCATGGGGAAGACGGGTTTGGGGAGATGAGTTCACGGGTCTCAGAACTCCTGTGGATTTAAAAGAAGCTTTGACAAGGTTTTGCCGTGACGTCTGTGGAAACGGTTACTGTGGGTGGAAGAAATACCTGGTCACGAAGGCGAAAACTGACCGAAATCCAGCGGTAGGGGATTGGGCCGTTTCTGCGGTCGAGACGTTTTCAGAGTTCTCCGTGGAGATGAGACGAGCAGCCTTACAAGGCGGGTAGGTA